ACCGCGGAGATGGAGCATCTTGAGAGGCTTCAAACACGCAATAGAGAATTCGAAGAGGTTATAGAGATGAAGAGGAAGGATCTTGCAGAGGTTCTTGATAGAACTGTGAAATGTTGTGAGATGCTTGAGACACGGTCGTTGGAACTGACAAAGACTCAGGGTGAGCTTGATTTGAAGGTGGAACAGTTAGCACAGATTAAGATTGATTTTGGGAGGCATCACAGTGAGCTTACCGCAGAGATGAAGCATCTTAAGAGAACCCAAACTCGCAATAGAGAACTGGAAGAGGAAATGGAGAGGAAGAGGAAGGATCTTGAACGGTTAGCTTCTCAGAAGAAGAAGCTTGAAGTGGTGGAACAGCAACTAGATTCTCAGAAGAAGCTGCTTGAGACACGGTCCTTAGAACTTGTTTCTAAAGAGAAAGAGTTGCAAGCACTAAATCTAGACCTTGACCTGAGGGAAGAGACGGTCAAATCACTAAATAACGAGATGGAGGAGACTTGTCAAAAGAAGGAGTCAAAAGCTAAGGAGCTGGAGGCCATTGAAAAGATGATTAATGAACGGAGTGGACACTGCGAATCAGTCAAGCTGTTGATAGAAAAACACACTGAAGAACTTGCTTCTAAAGAGAAGAGACACGATGAGATAACAGAGGCTACTCGTAAACTATCTGTGGAGATTGCATTTAAAGAGAAGACGCTCACTGATAGAAATAAGCAAGTTGAGGAAGGAGAGAAGAAGAAACTACAAGATCTGCACAACACCAATGAGGAACTTATCAGACAAGTCAAGGTGAGACAAGAACAAGTGTCTTCAATCACCGAGGCCATAAGGGAATGCACATGCGAGTTAGAAGCTAAGAGGAAACATCGTGATGAGGTTCAAAGCTCAATCACTGACCTTACTGCTGTGCTGATATCTCTTGAGAAAAAGATTCAAGAAAGCTCGGAAGGGTTGCAATCTACAGAGGAGCAGCAAGTCAAAATAAAAGCATCATTGATGGAACATGAGAACGGACTTAAGCTTAGAGAAATGGAGCTTATTGCTAGAGAGGAAAGGGTTAATGAACAAGATCAGAAACTGAAAGCCACAGAACAGGAGTTGACTAAATGGGTTGAAGATTGTGAGGTGAAAGCAAAACAACTGTCCAGATTTTGTCAAGGAAGCAACCCGGATCAGTCAAGGAAACGTGGAAGATATGATGATAAGTCATTGTCTCAGTTTAGAGATGAAGGTTTGGATGGTGCTATAAAATCGTTAAATCATGTGCTAACCAGTTGCACAACGAGGCAAGAGAACACTTACAACTTCGAGAACGAGAGATCTCTGGACAAGTTCAAGATTGATCAAATATGGGCTGTGTACAGCGACAGTGACAAAGGGATGCCAAGAAAGTATGCTCAGATCAAGAGGATCGACACAAGCCCTGAGTTCAAGCTACATGCAGCATCTCTAGTGCTGTATCGCCCTCCTCCTCCAAATCTCACAACACATCCTGTGTGCTGTGGCCGGTTCAAGTTGAAAATCGGTAAAGCAGAAGTCCTTGTACCTAGCAGCTTCTCACACAAGGTTAACGCCGTGAGGAGTAGTGTAAACAGATACGAAGTGTACCCAGGAAAAGGTGAGATATGGGCTCTGTACAAGAACTATCCTGAAACTGGTGAAGAAGTTGAGATTGTTGAGATAGTGGAAACAGATGAGAAGAGCATACAAGCAATGCTTTTGACTGCCAAAGTGTTCAACAAGTTTCTCTATGGAAGGTGTCTTGAGACAAAGGCCGGTGTTGTAGATATTCCGAAGACGGAAGTGAACAGATTCTCGCATCAGATTCCAGCGTTTAGACGTGAGAGAAGAGCAAAACGGTCTGGAGATTGTGAATGGTGGGAGCTCGACTCTAAAGCAGTTCTTGATCTTAACTCAAAGAAGCCATAAAGTCTCTTTTTTTTTATTTGGTAATTGTGTATATAAGCAGTGGAATGTGATGCTATAACGGTAATGTTTAGGAATCAACAGTTCGTAATTTTTTAGCTGTTGGTATAAAAAAATCTTAATACATTCGTTGTTATCAATTTTGTTATGCTTACTATATAAAAAATTAGAGTAAACAGTACGCAAGGAGTTCACAGTACGCAGAAGCAGAGAAAATGATAACTCTCATGCAAGAGAAAGGTAAGTTATCTCAAAGCCATTTCAGTTCGTTGCTCTCTGCTTTTGGCAAAGCCAGAATGAAGGTTGAGGCCAAAAGGATCTACTGCAAGAAGTCCAGACAGTGCTTGCAGAGGCACAATCCTAAAGGGATACATGAACTGTGGTGAAGTCAAGAAGTGAATATTGTCCTATGAGAAAGTGGTAAGAAACGAAACTCTGGTAAGTTGTCACAGTTACTACCAATAGTTTCAATAAACCCTTTTTTCTTCAAATTTTTCAAAATTAAAAGTTACATCTCTTACATGTTTTACCACTATGTGAACTCAGCCGGTACATACACAATCTCTACTTCACCACAATCAGCGAATGTAGTGATTCTGAGACAATGGGTTTAGAACACTTTGATGGTAACCTACTTTACCAAGAACCTTGAACCATGTGTTTGATGATAACACAAAAGGTAATTCACGTTGCTAAATGTGTTGCTTGGGGTATGAATCACATGCTTTAAGCTATGTACAAGTGAATAAAACGTCAATGGTTTTAAACTCTAACCACAACGTTGAAGGAACCTTCTTTTCTTTTAAAAGTATTCACATGATTCATCAATCATCACTTTTACATGTGAAGTCAAAAAATCAAAAGGCTTTTTTATTTCTTTAGAGAGTAAAAAACATGGCATACGAACAAACGGCACGTAGTTTTATATGGCGAAGAACAGTGGTTTATGTTACTCCATAGAAAACGGTGTGCTGTTTTTTTTTCAGGTAGAAACTGCGTGATGTTTCCATATATGCAAGTGTGGGCCAGTGCAATAACAGTTGGTCGCCAGCCGCGACCAAGTCAAGTCAGCTGCTCCTTGTTCGACTTTATTTTTTCTCTTCACAAGAATTACATTGTTTGACCCATATATATATCACTATTATCTGTCATTAATATTCCAACTAATTTTTAATGATATAAAAGTTATTTTGGTTATATTTCGGAATAACGTAAAAGAAAAAAAACTAGAAAAAAAATCGAAGATCTTATTTTCTTTACAAATATAATCGTGTTTTATTCAAAAGCGGCTCTTGATGGAAGTTGAGGAAGCGGTTGCTTACGGCCGCCAAAAAATATGATATATTTCGGCTTTATTTTGACAAAAAAATCCCTCTTAATATTAGTGGTTATGTACTGGTTACAAGAATTTAGCCTCGTGAGTTTGATTCCCCTTAAGATCATAGGTTATTTATTTTAGTTTTGCTTTTAGCCACATATTTTCTAGGACCGATTCTGATTATAGTTATTCAGTGTGTCTGGACGTATTTGAGCATAAGCCGATAAAACATTTGTGTACATTCCTAAAATTTTAGAAAAATTACATATATATATATATATATATGTATATTCTTAAATTTGTTAAATAGAACATATAACCATTTATTAAATTGTTTAAAGTCCTTAACATCTTAAAGGCGGCCATGGGTGTTTGAATCAAAAACTAACTAATTCTCTAAAGATATTTTAAACTTTCTAATAAAACCTAAAACACAGTCTCATATACTCTGTCTGCCTAAAATATAGTAACATAGTGTCTCGCAGAACTCAAACGCTATATATATAATAGTCTCATAAAATTAGTTAATGTACTTGTTAGTGACTAATTCCAATCGCAGATGATGTATAACCGTTTGTTTTATATATTAACGGTGGAAAGACAGAACATATACTGTGATTCTACAAGATTTTTATTGTGATTGGTTAAAAGAAAGAAAAAAAAAACAGAACTGCCGAACAAATTTACTCATCACGCCGGCTACTAACTAAAGTGTGTAAGTTGTAATTAAAAACACATTTGAGAAAGTAGTGATCACGATAGACATATGAAGCTGCGATGGCTAAGAGCTTTCTTGAAGGAAGTGAATATCAAAGTAGGACCTACGAATGATGGCTAAGATTAGTAAAGAGAAGTTCTTTTTGTGTGACAATGCAAGTTCTTGGTGATAACTGATTAGTTTTGTCCAAAAAAAAGGTGATAACTGATGAGTTTCTTACCTATTTCTTTGCTTCCTACTCTTTCCAAGTTATTTTTATTCCATTTTATAATTAAACTATAACCGTTGTACAAAAAAATGATTGTAAATGGGCAATTATCAGATATATATATATATACTATAAATGACTACATAAAGTTTTTGTTTTTGACTACTTAAAGTGAAAATGCTTGAAAATTTGTAAAAGTGGTATTCACGTTTCGCGATTTAGATAAAACACTGTTATCATTTTTTTACTAAAACTACGTACATCATCTTTTTATTAGAAAAATACAGTTCATTATTGTAACTCTGGGCAAATTTTTATATTAAACAAAAAAGATAACGGATATCACTAATGTTATCAGAAAGTTTATGTAGTCTACTATAAAGCATACGATGCAACTTATTATACTTTTCAGACTAAACTTAAAAATCTTAAGAGATTCAGTAATACTACGAATGAAACTTGCAAAGTTGCAAGTGCAAGGGTAAAAGGAATATGAAATTGACCACTTTTAGAAATGATTCCTTTCATATAAAATATTTGATAAAATGAAAATAGGACCATGTCAACCTATTCAAAGTCAACGAAATATTACGACTTCCATCACCACCTCAATTGGAAAAGTCTCTCTGTCCACGTGGATCTCAGCTAGTGACACATTTGCTGACGTCATAACCCCAAACCGGTCCCACCATTTCTTTGAGCCGTTCCTCCTAGCCTTCAACTTTTTCAAATAAAACCTCTCTATAAACTCCGCTTCCTTCTCCTCATCACTAACTTCAATTAAAAAAAAAAAACAACTTTACTGTATTTTTTTTATTTCCATAAACATGAAGAGTATCTTCAAGCTACCACCCCCTGCTCTGTTTCTACTACTAACCATGTCGGAGCTAGCTTCGGGTCAACCCAACGGATCCGACCCGAACAACCCTTACGACTACGGCGGGAGGTTAAGCCCCATCATGGCAGGCGTCGTGGTCGTGGTGATCGCTCTTCTCTTCTTCATGGGCTTCTTCACCATCTACCTACGTCACTGCACTAACGCCTCCTCAGACGGCAGCGTTAATCCACGTGTCGGAACCAGGAGAGTTATAAACGCGACCGTCGCGCGTGGGGTAGACGCGGCGACGATCGAGACGTTCCCTACTTTCGTCTACTCTGAGGTGAAGACGCAGAAGATAGGTAAAGGCGCGTTGGAGTGTGCGATATGTCTGAACGAGTTCGAGGACGACGAAACGCTGCGTTTGTTGCCTAAGTGTGATCACGTGTTCCATCCTCACTGTATTGACGCGTGGTTAAAAAGTCACGTGACTTGTCCAGTTTGTCGGACCAATCTCGCTGAACAAGAGCAGAGAGTTGACCCGGTTGAACCGGAAGTGGTAACCGAAATTGATATCGAGTCGCAGCAAACAACGGTTGTTCCTGAACCGGTAACACGTGTCAAGCTTCCGAGGTCGCACACGACGGGGCATTCGGTGGTGTTACCTGGAGAATGTACGGAGCGGTTTACGTTAAGGTTACCGGAGGAGTTGAGGAGGAAGATAATGGCGAATTGGAAGATGAACCGGTCGAATAGTGTTTTGGTTCGGTCGAGGAGTGGTAAACCGGTTGAACGTTCAAGGGCTCGATCGGACCGGTGGTTGTTTATTAAAACACCGTCGTTTCTGTGGAGGAGTAGGGATGATGGTTCTATTAGGCTAGGGAGTACCAAAGCAAATGCATTAACTAGTCCGACCGGTGATTCGGTACGAGCAGACCGGTGGAATTTTCTTAGAAACCCGTCGTTTATGTGGAGGAGTACGCCGGTTCCTTCGCCGCGAGTTAAGGATGGTGAAGGAACATCGTCGGTTCAAGATCAGCATACCGGTACAGTTGGTTTATCTAGTGGTTCAGTTAGGTTACCGGTTTAGTTGGCTCCTCGCTGATTCTACCAAAAAAGTTTGTGCATTGTTCATAACTTCATACAAAAAAATTTACGTAATTCTTTTATTTTCTTGTATGATATTAAAAGTCAATCCCATGGACAAGGAGATTGTTTTGTTTTATATGATTTTTTGAGTTTTTCTTCAGTGAGACAAGATCATTATAAGTCAAACAAAGAACAATGAGTCGGATAATGGTGGAGATTGGCCTCTCTATTCTTTAAAAAACAAAAAACAAAAGTCTTATTCGTCGACCAAGAATATACATAAAAGAGAAGATACTAGTCTTTTTTTCTTCGAACATGAATATTCAGAATAATCGGTTTATTTGTAAATAGTTAAATCAATAATATGAAAGTTGTTTTTACTCATCGAATACAATAGATCATAGTTAACAATTTTGTTAGCAATGATTGCTTTAACTTTTTCCAAAGTGTTCTAGACGGAATTAGTAAAAAGAATGTACTAATATTTGAATTTTACTCTATGTATACAATACTTAATAATCTTATCCTCGCGCAGTTCCGACAATTAATCATTTGAACAACCAAGTACGAGATAACCCTTACATAGGACAAAAAAAGTTTGAGAATAATATAACTTGGGAGTATCAAATATGGCAACTTCGTTTTTGTTCCCAATATAATGTATATCGTCTAGATAGACGACGACTGTTGACAACCAAAAGAGGTGGACTACGACTAGGTCGCCGCCTTTATACGGATCCGTAAAGGTTACTTGTTCAACAAATGTGACGTAGGAAATAAAACTGGTCAACTTTGTTCTAGAAAGATAATGTGTAAAATTACCAAAAGTCATGATAAGGGGAACGCAATAATCCTACTTTCAATTCCAGGGAAGGTTCCGTTGATTTCTAAAAACTCACCATCAAACCATTTTATTACACACACAAAAGGGGAACGTAATCGTAAACATAAACACAGCTCGTACGCAAATTCTGTTTTTTTTTTTTGTATATATGGACAATATAAAATAATTTATAAAAACCTTATATTTACAAAAAAAAGGATTCTAAATTTTAACTGAAAATTACAAAAGAAATGGGCTCAATGCAAATGCACTTTGTGCACGTGCATAGAAATGAATGAACATGCATAGAGATGAATTTGATGACACGATGTGACAAACAAGAGGATGGTATATTTTTAGTTTAATGGGTTTTGTTAGTTGCTACACACTATAACTTTTTTCTTAGCATCTTCAAACTTCTCCAACCATCTGTTGCTAAAATCAAATATGTATAGATATCCTTTAGTGGGATATATTTGTCCACTCAAATGTTTGGGTGGAACTTTGAACCCTACGTAGCAAGGTGGTAAGAGGGTGTTTAGTCACGATAAAATGATATCCATAAGAGAGAGAAACCAAACATAAAACCAAAATGCCATTATTGTTGTCTGCCATATAAGAAGGTGAAGAAGCTCATTTCGTATTTAGAATAAATAGGCAATTAGAGTCTAGTAACATACCAAAAAAAGTTTTATATATAAGTTTGATCCAACTCTACTTGGTATGTGGAGAAAATTCCTTCTCAGTGTAAATCCGTGATGATTTATGCCCAAAATTACACAATATCGTACTAAAATAAAACATCAACATTTGGTAATAGATCTCTAACTCTAATAAACGGTCTAATGAGAAAAACATATTTAGTTTGTCACAACATTTCCAACAAGCAACCCGGATAAGAAGTTTTAAGATTGAACTGGACTGGATCAATCTATCATTTTCCATCTCTAATTTTCGTTTAGCTTTAATAACAAGTTATTCGATGTCTTAACCGGTCAATCAATGTCCTAACCGGTGATATTGTAAACCGGAATGCCGGTTTATATCAACATTAGTTGTTCTACGTGGCTTGGCCAATCACATTACAGCATATCAGTCAGTCAAGGAAATAAATCAAATATTAATTAATTCCAAAAAAAACAAAATTAAATAAAAAAACGTTCTTTTGTTGTTCTTTCTTCTTCTTCTTGTTCTTCTGAGTGAGAGAAAAGGTTTCGATACGATAAAGAGAAAATGCATTCTTTTGGATACAGGGCGAATGCTCTTCTCACGTTCGCTATCACGATACTTGCCTTTATCTGCGCAATTGCTTCCTTCTCTGACAACTTTAGTAACCAAACTCCCTCTGCTCAGATCCAGGTTTGCCTTTTGTTTTTATTTATTCTTGAAGAGATCTCTTAGGGTTAAGTTGTTTAGATCCGTAATTACATTCTGGGAAACTTGTAAAGGTTGAGCCTTTCTGGAAATTTGTTATATGGGTTGTGAAAAGATTGAATTTTGTTATATGGGTTGTGGAAAGATTGAATTTTAATATATGGGTTGTGAAAAGGTTGAATTTTAATATATGGGTTGTGAAAAGTTTGAGTTTTTAGGTAATGGGTTGTTAATGGTTTGTGATGTGGTGTGCAGATATTGAATATCAATTGGTTTCAGAAGCAGCCTCATGGAAATGATGAGGTTAGGTTTCATGGTCTTACCCTCCTTGTGTGTGTTTTTTTTTACGTCACAATATATGCTTGAGTGTACCATCTATGGCTATGAATTATGTTTATCTGGTCACTCTTGGTAGGTAAATAAATGCTTATTTCATCATTAATTCATGCCTTGTCTATGTAAAGTCTGTCCTATGTGAAATTTAAGTTCAGATCTTGTGTTTGTGTTTCGTTTCATACTGTTTGTGTTAAGCTTTCCTTCGAAGCAAGGAAACAGATTTTTGGCTTTTTTTTTTTCTTGATAGCTGAATAAGGTTAAGACTTACGAGTCATGACCTCTAACTTTGTGCCTTTAGTATGGGATTTTATAAAAGCTTAGTGTATATATTCATTAGCCTACTCCTGAAAATCATTAGTCAATTTGTTGAAGTTGGTTGTTACCACAGATGTGATATCAGTTAATAAGTATATACTCGGTTGTTTTTCAGCTTGTGCACACTGCACACACCTCTAGTTTTATCTTCTTTATCGGGTCGTCACGCGTCAGGCTGCCAGTTATCAGTTGTATATATTCTAAATGCTTAGCATTTTTCTACGTGTTTTCAGGTGAGCTTGACACTAAACATAACAGCGGACTTGCAGTCACTATTTACTTGGAACACAAAGCAGGTATAGCATCTGAAACTTTAACCTGAGCTCTCCCTTATTTCATACTGTCTTGTTGCATACTTCTTTTTGTGTTGGTTGGACCAACTTAAACGAAAACATTTGCAGGTATTCGCATTTGTAGCAGCAGAGTATAAAACCTCAAAGAACTCCCTAAATCAGGTATATATCTACTTCGCTTCAAACACCTTTAATCTACAGCCTACTGCTCTGTTCAGAGTTATGTGGCTCTAGTATGTTGCCTACTTCAAAAATTAGGACCCTTTGTTGACATGCCATGCCATGAACTTGACATTTGCGCAGGTTTCTCTATGGGATGCCATAATACCCGAGAAAGAGCAAGCTAAATTCTGGATTCAAATCTCAAACAAGTACCGTTTCATAGACCAGGTATATATATGAAAAGGAACTTACAGAGTCTTTCATTGTTGGGAAGAGAGTATCTGATTTGTTGTTGTTAAATGGGATCTCTTTTCTAGGGACACAACCTCAGAGGGAAAGACTTTAATCTGACACTACACTGGCATGTCATGCCCAAGACTGGCAAGATGTTTGCTGACAAAATAGTCATGTCTGGTTATCGTTTACCCAATGCATACAGATGATTATCAAGAGGCCTCTCATGCATGCATGTAGGAATGGAGAGAGTTATGTTCACTTGTTTGAAAGTTTTTGTAATGGAACTTATAATAGACTAATCATTTTGTCTCTTCAATCAACTCTTTTACAATTACTAACTTCATTAAACAATTTTTTCCTTTTTCACTCTGTTCCGTTTTGCTTCTCCATCCACCAGCGCAATTTATGTCTTCTTGTTTTTTCGTCTAATAGAAATAGCCGTTGTTGCGTATGGGATTGTGTGTGTGTCTCTCACGTTTCTTCCAACCTCTTCTTTAAAACACGTTTCTGAAACACAAAACCAAACCGAAACTGAAAAGTAAAGATTGTTAAAAATGGTTAACTAAAGGGAACGCTGCTCGTGAAGGAGGCTTCAGACAGTCTCCACCTTCTTCTAAGGTTCTTGTTTCGGCAATTCCAGGTACACGCTCTCTTGTTTCGATCGGAGCAGCTTTGATCTGATTCACATTTTTACCATTTTAGTCTTTAGTTTGATTCAGATCTCAATTATACAAATACCCTCTGATCTGATTCATGTTTTGTAACAATATCACTGTTATATACAATTACATAGTTGCTAGACTCCATTGCTATAGGTATTCTGTATGTTTCCTTGACATTTCTGTTCTGTTTACGTAACATTGATTTAGAGAAATGGAAGTGAAAGCGAGAGCTCCGGGGAAGATTATACTTGCAGGAGAACATGCTGTTGTCCATGGATCCACAGCTGTAGCTGCAGCCATTGATCTCTACACTTACGTCACTCTCCGCCTTCCTCTTCTTTCAGGTTCCCTAGTTTTGGTTTCTTTCTCTGGTTGTTAATGCTCATTGAGATGACCTGCATCTGCAGGATAGTCTGTAGTTTACATTTCCATAAACTTGATTTGGTTCTAGACTTTGGATGTTCTTGTTCTATGTTAAGAGTAATCATCTTTTGGACATTATGTTGATGTAAGAGTCTAGAGGCATGTCTATTAGCAAATGACTTGATCTTAGTACCAGATGGATTCATATCAAATGTGGAGGAAGTAACATTGATGGTTGTTAAATGTGGAACGAGTAACATTGATGGTTGTTCCCAGTGTTCTGAAAGCGTTTACACTTTCTCTTTTGACAGATGAGAACAATGATAGGCTTACACTTCAGCTCAAGGACCTTTCTTTGGAGTTTTCTTGGTCTGTATCCAGACTCAAAGAAGTGATTCCTTGTGATTCAAGTACTGTATCCCCTTCTACGCCTACTTCAAGTTCAAGCGAGACACTTAAATCAATTGCTGTTTTGGTTGGAGAGCAAAACATTCCAGAGGCAAAGATCTGGCTCTCCTCTGGGATCTCCACCTTCCTCTGGTTATACACCAGCATCTTAGGGTAAACAAAAACAATTATCATTACAACTTATTTACATATTGTTTGAGTCCTGTTGTTGTGGTTTTTAGATGCATTCCGGCTACTGTCATCATTACAACCGAGCTTCCATACGGATCTGGCCTTGGTTCATCAGCAGCTTTTTGTGTAGCTCTCACAGCTGCTCTCATTGCATCTTCTAGTTCAGACAAAACTCGTGGTGAAGGTTGGTCCTCTCTAGATGAAACCAATCTCGAGTTGCTGAACAAATGGGCCTTTGAAGGTGAAAAGATCATCCATGGGAAACCTTCAGGGATCGACAACACCGTCAGTGCATATGGTTTGTTTCAAATATCAAAAACATCCAAAACTCTCTCATCAAAACGTTATAGAAAAACCATTTTTGTGTGTGTTTGTGGTTTGTTGCAGGGAACATGATCAAATTCTGCTCAGGAGAGATAACTCGGTTACAGTCAAACATGCCTCTGAGGATGTTAATCACCAACACTAAAGTTGGTCGTAACACTAAAGCTCTGGTCTCTGGTGTGTCAGAGAGAACAGTGAGACATCCAGAGGCGATGAACTGTGTGTTCAATGCTGTAGACTCTATAAGCAAAGAGGTGGCTGCAATCATCCAAACCAAAGATGACATCTCTGTTACAGAGAAAGAAGAGAGGATAAAAGAACTCATGGAGATGAACCAAGGCTTGCTGGAGTCAATGGGGGTTAGCCACAGCTCTATTGATACAGTGATACAAACCACTCTCAAGCACAAACTTACCTCAAAACTGACTGGAGCTGGTGGTGGTGGCTGTGTCCTCACTCTATTACCTACACGTATCCTTTCATTATAAAGTTTTCTTGAAATCTTGATTTTTGTTTTGTCCCTTGACGTTTGTATACTTCTTTGGTAAAATGAAGTGGTTTCAGGGACGGTGGTGGAGAAAGTGGTGCAAGAGCTTGAGTCCAGCGGTTTTCAGTGCTTCACTGCTTCAATTGGTGGTAATGGAGCTGAGATTAGCTTTTGATCAGACCAGAGTCTCTCCTCTGATGCTATATGGTTTAACAACATCACATTAGGCCTCTCACCATTCTTAAACTAGCTCACTGTGTACTAGAAGTTCAAAAGTCAATTTTTTTTTTAACTACTGATGTGTTTAATGTAAAATGCTTTCTTTACATGTGAAATATCTTTTCTTTTTGTAGAAATGAATGCATGATAATAGACATGATGATCAGTTGGATTCTCTTGAAAGAAGTATGAACTATGACAATGTTTTTGTTACATAACATGGCAGACACATAAAGATTTCTACTATGGTAACATTCTTTAGTGTGTGTCCCCTTAACTTTCTCTATCCACTATAATCTTGTCTAGCCACAAGATCTTTTTTTTTTGGGTTTTTAGTAATAAAACCCCTCAACTAAAGATGGATCGTAAAAAAAACCCTCAACTAAAGATTTAGTGAAATAAACCCTTAACTTTAGTTCTGTTAATGTTTGTCACCCTCCGTCACAGAATTTTAGACGGAGGGTAACATATGTTAACAGAACTAAAGTTGAGGGTTTATTTCACTAAATCTTTAGTTGAGGGTTTTTGTTACGATTCATATTTAGTTAAGGGGTTTTATTACTAAATGTGGTTAAATATTTTAAAATCTTTATTATCATTTATTCATTATTTAAGAATCTTAAAATTGATTTATAAGCTTTGAAAATAATTTTATATTTTTTATATATTCCTTTATCAATTTTATAACCTATTTATAAAGTTTTCTCATTTAATACTTTTTATAAATTATTATTAAATTTTAATGATGATTTTATAAGATTAAAGAAGTGATTATTCGTCATACTACAAAAACATGAAGTAAATAAATAAAACAAGAAAAGCTTATTGATTAATAAGGTAGGAGTATAACATATTGGTTCAAAAATTAAAAAAAGAAAAGAAAAATAATCCTACATTATTTCTTCTAAAACAGAAAAGTACGAATCAAATTGAAATTGTTTAAAGAGGAGAAAAAAACCCTTGCCATATTTTAAGTAACAAGGTTGAATTTCTAAACTAATTAAATATCCTCAACACTACCTACAACTTTATCTAACTTAGAAATCTTAATTATTTGATATTTGAAAGTATTAATATATGAAAATTGTATGTGTTTCCTCTTTTATAAAGCTTTATCGCTTTACTTCGTAATATCAAGAAAAATCATTTATTATTTTATCCTAAGAAATAGCAGACAAAAGCTTATAAAATCATCATTAAACCTTATTAATAGTTTATAAAAAATTAAAATATTTACTAAGCTTATAAATAGGTTAAAAATTTGATAAAGTAATATATATAAAAGATTATAAATTATTTTCAATGTTTATAAATCAATTGTAAAATTCTTAAATACTAAATAAATGATAATAGAGATTTTCAAATATTTAACCGCATTTAGTAATAAAACCCCTCAACTAAAGATGAATCTTAACAAAACCCCTCAATTAAAGATTTAGTGAAATAAACCCTCAACTTTAGTTATGTAACGTATGTTACCTTCTGTCTAAAATTCTGTGACGGAGGGTGACAAACATTAACGGAACTAAAGTTGAGGGTTTATTTCCTAAATCTTTAGTTGAGGGTTTTTTTTACGATCTATCTTTAGTTGAGGGGTTTTATTACTAAAAATCCTTTTTTTTTTTACCACTAGCCTACCACAACCTAGTTTTTTGTTTATATCTCATCTCATGTCAGAATTGAAGATGCAGATTCCATAATTTCATTTGGTAGTTGAATATTATACATCTTAACCTTCGTAATGCCACGACGTGGAGAGGTTATAATAATAGACGATTTATTTGACCAAAACAAAAAAAAAAGAAACTTTTTAAAATATATTTAAATTTTTTTGTCACAAATATATATTTTAAAAATTAAAACGAACAACCAATATAAATTTAAATATTTTATCACAAAATAATTAAGTACATTTATATCATTTGAATTGATTAATCCTAAATTTTTTTTTGCGATTTTGGGATAAGATTTGAAATTTTAAAAGATAAAGTAAAAAATTTAAACTTTCAAAATAAAAATATTCTTTTGGTTCTTTTAGTTTTTGAGGTTTATTTTGATATAAAAATTTACTAACGTCTATTTGAGAGAATTATCTAAAGAAAAAGACGATCTTATTAATTAAGAAAAGAAAGGGGTTTCTATAAGATATCTGAAAGTTTTGGGTTATTTCCGTGATTTAGAAAACATAAAGGGATATTTCGGTAATTTAAATCATAAAGAAAATCAATCTACAAAGAACACAAAAGCCCTAGATAGACCTTCTTCGCTTCAGAGGTAAAAATCACCGCCGCAGATAGTCATCATCTTCTTCTTCCACCACAGTCCTACGTAAGTTATCACTTCTCTTTCTCTCTTCGTCGCTTCTTCCCATCTCCAAATCCATAAATGTATATTTGATCTTTTTTTTAGATTCATACAAACATGTTGGATATCAATCTATTCCGAGAAGAGAAAGGAAACAACCCCGAGATCATCCGCGAATCGCAACGCCGTAGATTCGCCAGCGTCGAAGTCGTCGACGAGATCATTAAGCTCGACAAAGAATGGCGCCAACGTAAAACCACCTCTTTTT